GGAACGGCAGGGCAGATTTCGTCGGCGCACCACAAGACAGTGGAGTTTGTTAAAACCCACTTGAGAAGCATTAGGGGACAATTTGCAAATAAGAAATTTCGAGGGCATACAATCTGTGCATACTGACGCAGCACACTAGAAAACGCAGTACACAAGAAAGGTGCACAAGGAACGAACGCGCACTACCTACAATTGTTTATTTCACGACGTCGTCGTGAAACATAGATACACCCGTGGCATAACTTTCATATAAATCTTTTATATTCTATCCGGTGTTTCGTTTTGTTCTTTTTTATATTAGATGATTCTGCGTATGTGCCCTTGGTATATATATGTTTCAGGACAATGTTGTGGAATAACAGTCGTAAGTAACGCTTAGGGGGTTATAAAGAGGGTTCAGCTTGAATTGAGGACGACGCAGCAAGCGTTATTGATAGGTGCAATTTTAACATACAATAGGATAACAGAGGGTGGTCGGGGAACAAACCCGAGTGAAGGATATCATAGTTGAAATGAATAGTAAGAAAATGACACATATTAGCCGGACATGTATCACATAGGCCGGAGAAGCATTGGTCATAAAGGGTAACTAACTGAATTCCCAGAGAAGGCAAGCGCACGAAAGGGAGACGGGAAGTTAGGTGGGCCGATGAGATTAAAAAGTCACCAGGTATACAGCGTGGCAGCAGAAAGCACAAGACCGGTTTGATTGGCGGATCATGGAAGAGGCCTTTGCCCTGCTGTGGGCGTAGTAGGGCTGGTGATGAAGTAACGCTTGTCCCTTGAGTGTGTTTTGTGTGTCCCTTTTTTCTTTCGCTAATTGTTTTCAACCTGTAAATGTGTGTATCATCGTTAGGTTCGACGATTGAACAATGGCCTTGCGTGTAGCGATCCGAAGAACGCGCTGTCGATTTTTTTCCCCCCGTGTTCGGGCATCCGGCTGATGTCGGCGTCAGCATATAGAATGAAAACACACATGAGCTGCTTCACTAGAAGCATTGTTGCAGCGTCAACTCTGGCCCTTATTATACGAGTCGATTCAACTCAACACTGCTATTCGTCCTGTTGTTATGCGCTGTGCTCACATGTGGTGCTAGCCGTGCCTGAGGCGTGCATTTCGGAAACTTCCATGCGCCACGACACTGTACACTTTGCTCATGCACTACATAACATTTTTGTCGAAGAGGCTGTACTAATACATGCGTTAACTGGCCCATTTATACCTTGATCATTGGCTAGGGCAGTAAATAATTAGGGCGATTAATTAGGTCAGTAGATAGTAAGAGCTGATTATCTAGTCAAATGGCTAATATCTAGTCAAATGTACTAATACATGCGTTAACTGGCCCATTTACACCTTGATCATTGGCTAGGGCAGTAAATAATTAGGGCTGTTAATTAGGTCAGTAGATAGTAAGAGCTGATTATCTAGTCAAATGGCAAATTGGGGGTGGTTTACAAGCGAGTGTTCTGAGGCGGACCATCGGGGCTAGGAAATGTGGCTCTGGTGTGACGATGGTCGTTATGAACCAGACTTGCGGTGCAACGCACCACCGGCAATGTTGAAATAGCGTCTCCCACGTGATTCAGTTCCACGTGTTGTCGAAATGTATTCTTACATATTTAATTAAAGAGAGAGAAACAGTCTTTTGACTCGCTTTGGGTAGACCTGAGCAGCCACTTAATTGGGTCTCTTTATAGAAGCAGGTCTACTCTATTTGGGGGTCATTGTAGTCTCGTTGGAGAATCTTGGGACATCTAAAATGGAGTTAACATCACCCCTTAAACAGTCATATAGGTAGCAAGTCAGAACTCACAACTTGAAATAGAGTAGCGCATATTGGCTGTTCTTTTGCTTGAATGTAGATGTGCGAACACTGTCTCGTTAAAGAGCCACGCTAACTCTTTTGGAGATTCGCTGCAGGCATGACTCCCCCCCCCCCCCGAAAAAAAAAGCTAACGCACCCTTTCAAAGAGATTTATATATCTGGGAGTTCAAGCGTGTAAAAAAACATCACTGAACCCCCTATACAGAAATTGGTGTAACACGAAAGTGAAACGTGTCGTTACAGAGGTAGTCGAGCGTTTATTGATCATTGTTTCAGCAACAACAGTGAATTGCGAAGTCACGTTAAGAACGGTAAGCAGCTTGAAACTTGCAGCGCACACTTGAAGCAGAAAGCACGCATGAAATTAGCATACACAGGAAGAGCACATACAAACTGTCACAGCTCGACACTTAAAGCACGCTGTTCAAACAGAAAGAAAGGCGCACGAAATACGCGCACAAGTATGCACAAGAAAAGCGCGAACAACTGCCACAATTGTTCCTGCATCGTGTGGCAGCAGAGTGCTCCTTTCATAAACGCGGCCACAGCAGCGTGCGAAGTGACCTTCATACTCTCCCGAATTACGAGTCTGATAGGCATGCGTGCAGGACAGACCACGCTCCGTGGAGGCGACGACCTTGAGAGCGCGCCCAGCGCCAGCCCGTCGCGCCATCTCGCCACTGATAACGAAAACGCACTAAAGTTTCGAAGCTCTGAAAATTGTCAAATGGTGTATGCTATATATAAATGTCTTGCCGTTAGAGACAATGTGCGCTTCGTGGCGTAGTGGTTAGCGCCGCGCGTTGTAAATTGAGAGGTTGCTAGTTCGATTACGGGCGATAAACGCTTGTCTTCTGTTTTTTTTTTGCATTTCATTGTATTTTTTCAACGTCACTTCCGTGACGGAAGTACGTCAGCGAAGTCATGGTGGACCCAGGCATAAAACACTTTCGTGTTAAAAAGTCTCTGTTTTGCTTTAGAGAGAAAGTGTCCTGGTGCATACGAGCGGTAGAATGAGAGTTTGTCAGGGGCTATAGTTTTCATGGTTGTACACAACTTAAGAGATGTTTTTGTTTCTCTAGCGTCTGTACTTTGTCTTTAACTTAAAGCTCCTTGTGACCTTATCGCTGCTATTATTAGTCAGTACTCTAACCACTGCATACACCGTCACGGGTGATGCGTCGCGGACACAGAGCGAATTGTTTATAAAGCTTCCTTTTAGGGAGACTTATTACCCCCGTGTTCAGAAACGCTGCTTGATTTCAACTTTACTTGCCACCGACTTCAACGTAGCACAATCGCGTTTCGAACGCGCTGTCTATTGGCGGTGGCAAGGCAGTACAAACGCAAAGACGCGTTTCCAACGCGCTGCATTGAATACGATTTCAAGTCACGTTCAAGTCAAGGAGCGTTTCTGAATACGGGGGGACGAACACGGTACCTACTCCGTTTGTATTGCAAATGAAATAATCGTTCAAATAAAGTGTAAAATCGTCGATGCACCCTCGTTATGACAAAAACATCAAGAAATAAGAGAAAAGGAGTGTTGAGCACAAGTGAAATAGAACTAGCGTTTCATTTCCCTCCACAGTTAACAGAACAGTTTTATTCCTCTATAATTAAGGCAGTTAAAATGTGACGATTGGTATTTTACGTCTGAAAGAAGCAGCGGTATTCTGTTTTCTGAAGTCAATATATTGTTTCAAACAAAAGGACAGCTGTGCGCCGAATTCTGCATGCTACGAATTCATAGAATCAGGGTGACGATTGTGCGTGTGTGCGTGTTTCATGCGTGAATGCAGGAATAAATGAAGCACTTAAAAAAAAAACGACTATGAGAGCTCCTGAAAGTCAACAACGCCTTAGAGAGGCAATTAAGTTTCCACTTGGATTCTATACGAAAGCGGCCGCATTAGCCGTGCGTCGAGAGTCAGAAGCCCCGAACTTACCGTCTTCACAGAGTACTCCCGCACTGACTTTGTAAATCATTTTCAACCGTAAACAGCGCGGCAAAACGAAAACAAGGTAGACAGACGTAAATACGCCCAGTTTAGTTGAACCAAAGGGAGAGTGTATTTCGTTCCTGCTGCGGGGAGCAGATGAGCGGCCCCCCGACATAGGCCCCGTACACACCCACCCCAACAACACCCATCCGATAGAGCTCTGAAGACAGCAGATGCTGGCGCCCGACACAACACAGAGGAGCAGCGGCCGCGCCACGAGACACCCATACGCACGAAAAGAGGCCCCAGCTAGGGTCAAAGATCCCTACCAGTCAACTGTTCGCAGAGGGAGGTTATGGGCGAAGGTCACGGACGGCGGAAGTTCCGAGATGCAGCAGCCGGCCGGCCACTACCGGGCACACGGCACAATGGCCGAAAAACGATCGAACCCCCCCTGAGGGCGTCAGTAAAGGGGCCGAAAACGGGGGCATAGCATAGGTGAAGGGGGGGGGGAGAGATGTGGTTGCTGGAAAGGAACGTCTATTTACGCCCCCCCCCCCCACCTGCCCCGTTTTTGCCTAAGAGATGCGGCGGGGGGTCGTATGACTACGGAACCAGGCTAACCGGAAGGTGAGGGACCCCGATCCCCGTCTGCTCAGCCCAACTAGGTTTTCAGCCCAAGTCCCTCTGACCACTGCGCGACAAGAAAAAAAAAAAAAATCTGAGGAATATGGAATTATGACTAGAGGTGAGAGAGACGACCGGACGCGACGAGAAGGAAATAAAGATTAAAAAAAATAAAAAAATAAAAGAAATACCTAGCGGCGATATCAAACATTTTAAAATGGAGCAAAGGCACGAAGCCAGGGCTTTCGGCAGCCCTCTTTCCTCTTCGGTGGGTTCACGGCTTTTGTGTTACGCGGCGCGGGCGGCTGGGGTACCGCGCGTTCCCTCTACGCGTTCAATGTCAAGGTACGATGCGCCGGTAGGAGCACGGGGGCGAGGAGGTAGCGCGTAAGTAAACTGGTATGAACTGTAGCACTCCGAATGCGGTAGCGAAGGAGAGAGAGAAAGAGAAATCTATGGTGGTGGCGGCGCGTTGAGGATAGAGAGAGAAAGAAACGATGAGAGAGAGAGAGTACGACGCCAAGTCGAGGGCGCGATTACTCCCCGAGCATCTGGTTTGGGCGCGCTCGCTCGGCTCTGGCAGCGTTGTACGTCGTTGTACATCGGCTCCAGCAGAGCGGTGTCTTTTCCCGATCGCGTCGCCGACGACTCCGTCGCGCTCCTCAACTGTCGTCGGTCGTCGTGGATCACACGTGCGCACTCATCGGGAGGGGCTGGTCCCGGTAGTCGCGCTCTCAGTGACGCGCGCTCGACTGTAAGCTCCGCGCGATTTTCTGTACTGCTCGTATATTTGTTTTGTACCTTATTCAAGACTGCGTTCGTCGACGTGCCTGGATTGTGCGTTGTTACGACGACGAAGCTTGGCGAAAGAGATAATTCGACACTTTTCCCCATCCATCGAACGCTGTCGGAGTTCACTGATTGGATAACTTTCTTCAGTGCCATCCGCCGATTGATGAACGAAATGAAGGTATGTTTCTTTCCTTTTACTTTTTTTTAGGTATTTCGACCCGTCACGGTGGTCTTGATGCTTGACTCCTGGCCAGAATGTCGCGCGAAAGTACCGGCCACGGCGACCGCATTTTCAATTCACGTTATTCATTTTCATTTCATTTTCATTTGCACGTTAAATAATTGCAGGTGGTCGAAATTTCTGAAACCCTCCACTACCGTGTCCCTCATTATCATATCGTGGTAATGGCATGTTAAACCTTGACAACTGTCATTGGAGGCGCTTAGAATCCCTGCACATATGTACACATAAAGCAATAATTGACACGTTTTTGTTGATATTGTCGTTTGCTTCGTTTTTATGTAATAACCAGATAAAGCACAGGCGACGGGGCACAGGTTATGGAGATTTTATATCTAACGAGTCTTAGAAACGACTGCATCCTCAGTCGTTGAACATGAAACGATGTGTTTACAGTTAGCAGTGTTGTTTTGCGGTGCGTTAGATAAATACACACCGCTTGCGGCTTTTATTTATGTGCAAAGAATCTCTTTAGCTTCCACGACCAACTCAGATGGCTGAAATGCACACTAACTTGATGCCGTGAAGTGGACGATAATTTACGGAACAGTAAGCGTGTGACACTTTGTTTGTTTTTTAATCATGCGTGCTCGACGAAGCTTGTCGTAAGTTTAATCGAACAATGACTATAGCTGTGACAAAAACGAAGTCGACTTAACAAGTGCAGTGGAAATCTCGCCATAGAGCCATGACTTACAGGAAATACAACGTCATCAACTTGCCTAATTTCAATAGTACTATTTTGAAAAGAAGGTGGTTCGCTGCACCACGGACGCTACATGCAGAAGCCGTGGCACCACATTTTTTAAACAAAAGTGCGCTAATTTGACGAGATCACGCAAAGCCATAGGCATAGCTCACATGTATGCATTATTCTGTAGTCTTCGCTAAATTAGCGACCTTTATGTCTTTTTTCAAAAAGCTCGTAGGCTTCACAGTAACTATCATTACTAACAATCGCGATATAACGTGAATGCCAGCGCGTCTTCCTTTCTTCGCCTATTCTAGAAGATCAATAATGCTATTGCAAATCGTTCAACGTCTGGCAAAAAAAAAAAAAAAGAAAGAACTTTGACGAGCTGTTCGTGTTCGCACTTGAGACAAATATCGAGTCAGTCGTGTCAAGGCATTTCGTCAAAGTACACATCAGCTAAATGTCATCCGTAAATGAAATGCCGGAAAATCGAGCTTAGCGAAAAATAAATCGCTTGCAGTGATCGCTCACGCCTAGAGAAATTGAGAAATGCTCTTTTTATCGCGTTGGTTAAACTTGAGTTCCTTGAAAGACGTGTTAGGTTAAAACAAGATTAGAAAAATATTCGCTTAAATTCAATGCTCTTAAAAAAAAACACTCGTGAGCATCGGAAAAAAGAAATTCAAGCACAAACCATAGCTTTACACAAGCAAAACTATATGCTTCAAGTATCCCAAGAAATGTTTAAAAAGATGTTATGATGAAAGTATATGTAGAGGGTTATAACCCACCATTATTTCGTAAGTAGTTGGTGCTCCCACCACGCGTTATCGTATGAACATCTTGTAAGTTGACCGCGCAACAGCAAATTGGCATTTCCAGCTTGTGGTGACTATTTGAACGATGTATAAGTAATTAACACGTCTTCAGCGCTGGATCATTTACTTTTGATTGAGCTGTTGTATACAACTAAGAATTATCGTACAGCAAACGTCGCATGTTGCGAGTTTGGTGGCCACCGGCCGCAAGTTAGTGTTGTCCTTTCTAATTAATTGTCATTATTTCATTAATAGGACCCTACAATAAAAAGATGCCACCCGCATCTCCCCATGGAGGGAACTCGAGTAAATGCGTCCCAGAGTAGTGACGGTGTCGCACGAATGTTGCGTAATTGGGTACGATTGGAGAATGCTTATTGTTAGTTCGGCTTTATTATTCTTATTTACTGAACGAAAAGAAGCGTAGCCTTCAACGCCAAGCGAAAGCCAAGTAAAGACGCCCTTGACTAAATTCCTAACGCGCGATCCAGTGCCTACATATACGGGGTCATCAGGGAGCGGTTGTGCAGCGCGAGCAGTCCTTTTGATAGAGGGGTGAAGCTGTTCTTAGTTTAACCTTGTCATGCGTTACGCGTAACCGACAGGAGACGAGAAAGAAAAGACGGCAGTATCGCCCTAACAATATAATAGACGGCGGTGTCTCATAGAACTTTATACAAGCTGCAGTTGAGTAAAGATATTCTAGATGGCGCTGTACCACTACTCTGCGATTGGCTGCTGCGCGAGCTGTACCTGGGTACGCGGAGAACGAGTGCCTCTCAGTCGCCTGGATAGTCGCCTTACGTGGCGGATCGTTGGTCGGGAATGGACGAAGCAGAGGGGCGGGTGCGTTGAAGACGTTTGCGCTCGACTTCCTCGGCTCGCGTCTCGCCGGTGTTACCAGCGCGCCGTCTGCATTCTCGAACGCATCGGACGCATGCACGAATGGATGGACAAATGAACGGATGAACACTTCGCCCCACTCATCATCATTCACTCCGTGCATATGCTGTGATTTCTTTCTTTTTTTTTGCTAGCTGCCTGCGTCGCCTCGGCGACAGAGGAGGAGGGGAGTGACATTTTTGCGAGTGTATTCCTGGGTCGGCACGAAACCTGAGCATGCGGCATGAAACGTGAGACGCGATTATGCACAGCGGGGGGGGGGGGGGGGGGGGGTTGACGGCGCCGCTGACGACAAAGCGCGACATCGTACGACTATTAGGTGGTGGTGAAAAGCATTTATTCACAAAAAAGAGATGTAGAACTTCGAGATGGACTCTATTCCGGGACCCCATTGATTAAAGCTGCTGTCCTGGCTCACTGGACCAAGGCATGCTGTGCCTGAAGGTCTGAGTGGTTGAGCGGGGCCGCCTCCCAGTCCTCTCTTCTAGGGTTTGGGTTAGGAATAATGACTACATTATCATTGCAGGCCCACACCACGTGGTACGTGTCTGCTTCCTCACCAAGTTCTGGCACTGTTTTGTGACCGTAGGGACCAAATGTTCTACTATGGTAAAACATAGCATCGTATTCGTCTAAAGGCGAAGTAAAATGTGCTCCTCTGCTTTCTTCTACCCCTTCGCAGGGGAAGGCAGCGTCAATGACTTTCCCGAGAATAATGAAGAATTTCCTTATATCGGAGAGGGTAACCCTCCTCGTCGGTCTCCATCGGCCTTGACGAAGGTAGCCCGGAAATAAGCGCTCGGGTAGCCGCATCTGCAACCTCATTTCCCCACAATCCCTGATGGCCCGGTGTCCATATAATGCGTTTCGGATGAGGGTACCTGTCTCTTTTGCAGTAGCGCAATATTGTCTCGGATAACGGTGGTATATACACTGCTATATAATTACGAGGCGCTCGGCGCGAATCTGTGATAATGTAACGGCAATTACCGTGATAGGCCGCAAGGGCAATGGCGACCTCCTCAGCCAGTGTTACAGAACACGCCCTGAAGGTTAGTGCATTCACCTGTGTGCCTTCGTGAATAGCAGCAGCCGTGTACCACCCATCGGAGGTGGTGCCAGTAACGTTCACGTAGTGCCTGGCTTCTGTCCAAATTGTCGTTCTCGCGCTCGAGCGCGTGCGTCACGCCGCACGGTGTGTTCATCTCTGTACATTTTAGCGCGTTGACGTCGGACCAGAAAGGATGTGCGCCACAGTTCTGGTACCCTGACCCACTCCTGTTGTTCGAAGTCATGTCTTATGTGCAGACGTTCAAGCAGGCGTTGGCCAGAGTTGGTTTGGGCTAGCCGTGTGTACTGGTTTAAAGGATGGGCTTCTCAGAGTTGTTGGTGTGAGTTAATCACACCCAATGCCTTGAGACGGCTGTTGAATGTACAGATCCGAAGATCAAGAGCCTGATTTATTGTCATTTTAATGAGTGCCTCGATGCGTTATTCCTTATTTTTGCGGAGGGAGAGGTAAGGGACGGAGTACATGACCCTGCTGGTGACAAAAAGGTGCGCTTGCCGCAATGCATCTGTGCACCGAAGTCCCCCCCCCCCGCCCCCCCCCCCTTTTGTTGGAGAGACTGCGGATCATGCGACCAACCTGGCCTCCTATCTTCCTTATTTCCGTCAATCTTGTGCCGATCTGGAGCTGCTGGTGAGTGTAACAGTATAATTGTCAGTTCAAGCGCACTAATAAACGGCCCAGGACCCTGAGCTCCTCCGCTTGTCTGATTGGGCCAGCCGGCAAAGTCATGGAGATGTCTGTGTTGTGTTTAGCCATGCCTCTGATGTAAAGGAATTTGGATTTGCTAGGGGCGTTTTCGAGTCCGCAACGTGCCGGGTAGGTGTATTGCAGCAAGGTGGCAAGTTGGGCTTGTTGGATTACGTTCATAATTGATTTTTGTTTTGTTGAAGCGCGTTAAAGACGGACGGACAGAAGAGGCTGACAAGGACATCGCTTGCTGTCCTTGTGTGTAGGTGTGTACGATTCCGACAGCCTGTTGCAGACTGGTTTCAATGGCACCTAAGGTCCCTTGAGTTGCCCATACCGTAATGCCATCAGCATAGAGGACGTGGTGAATGCCCTCTATGGCCGCCAGATGATATGGGAGGCGAATCATTGTGATGTTAAATAATAATACCACCGATTCAGGAAAGATTCCGTGTTATCATAAGCATACATTAGACACACCTTAACTTGATATACCTTTAGACACGGGGCACAACGACATTGCCCAATTTGAAATGTGGCACAGATATGGTGTTATTACCGTTTTTTGAAACACGGAAGTGTTTTATGCCAGGGTCCACCAAAATTTCAGTGATGTATTTTGACATGGAAATGATGTCTAAAATTAACACGATCAGAACATAGAAAAAGTTTCATTAACGGGAGTAGAACCCACGATCTCTCGGTGAGCGACAATAGCTGCCGGGCTCGCTATCCACTGCTCCACGGCCACATAATTTACCGTCTTTAAAAAGACGCCTTTTACATCTACCACTGCACTGTCACTGTACTCTTGGTAAAAGTGTAATACTTCATCGTGACCGTGAAATCTACGATCAGTTTCTTCGACGTGTCGTTTCTACGTCTCCGTCTAATTCTGTGCGTTTCCAATAGAAGTGAAATTTTGTCAACGTTTTAACATACTACCAGGTGGGGACCTTAGCCAAAGCGTCGACGTGGCTCATAAGATTCATCCATACAAAGTGTAGTTCTAGCGCATAGAACGACGCGTCTGCTTTGCCTAAATGTAACTCGGCCTTGTCCGATTAAGCTCGCCGCGCGAAAAATCGTGGCTGACCGAAAAGAAGACCGATGCAACTCGCGTTGCGTTTCCCTCTAATCGGCCAGTGGCGTCTAACTTGTCGCGAGTACACGACATTAGCCCAAGTTTGGCGTAAAATAAGTCATGATCTTCTGACTGTTACACCACTTTTCTTTTTTTCCGCTCCAACCGTTAACTACCGCAGATACCACAGGCACCCATGACTGCAAGGGAATGTTTATTCATTAATCAATCATTAATCATGGACGTTAGTTGTCAGGATGGAGACGTATCACTAAGCGTCAACTTGGATTCATTCACGAAAAACAGTGCTTCAGCTGTGGAACACCAACATACATTGATTGATTGATATGTGAGGTTTAACGTCCCAAAACCAACATACGATTATGAGAGACGCCGTAGTGGAGGGCTCCGGAAATTTCGACCACCTGGGGTTCTTTAACGTGCACCCAAATCTGAGCACACGGGCTTACATTTCCGCCTCCATACCAACATACATTGCACGATCTCTTTTGTATCAATGCACTGTAAGCACATAACTACATCGGTGAGGCGACGTTTTATTTTTGTGTTATACCGATTCTTATGACGGTAGAATCAATCATAATTCTTTCCCTTTATGTTCAGATAACATTGTTTAACGTCTGAAGTTCCTTGTAAGCATGTAAGAAAAAAAATATGGAGTGTGTGTTAATCTACAAGTTTTGTCCTAAATAACTAAATAACTCTACTCGCTTTACAGAGACACGTGAACGGTTTTTTTTCTAAGACATCTTTATTTTCGGCAACAGAAAGCAAAACAGGAGGATACTTAAGATTCGTCTTTAAGAGTTGAATGCGATAGCAATACCCTTCACCTAGTGCGTATACCGAGTTTGAAATGACTTGTGTCAGTGAAGCTTTCGCATACGGCTGCAGTCTGTGTAATAGGTAGCATGTAATGGGTACCACGGGAAATTGTGCCCATGAATGCTTTTCGAACTTGTTATGCAGCCACTCGTGGCCTTAAGAGAAAAGGCTCAGTAACACGCGTGGCTTTTGTAGTGGGTAGCTATATATGGTGGTTTTGGGACGTTAAACACTACATATCAGTCAATCATTTTGCAGTGGGTATAGCCAGCTTTAAACGATGAATTCACGATGATCGCGTGTTCTAACAGCCGATCACAATGTACGCTTGTGCCACGAATTATTAATGCGATAATACATGTTGCTTTGTAAAGCATGTATACAGGACGCGTGTGTTTCTAAAGCATGAAAGTTAATTTCACTGCATTTCCAAGTAGAAGTTATTTTCAATGTACTCTCAAAGCAGACGCGCAGAACCCTTACTCGAACAGCAAACGACCTGGGTTCTATATCCTCACTCAGACCCACATTTTTTATTATTTATTTATTTGTATCTTTCTGGATTATTTGGCCACGCACAAGAAGATGACTTTTTGCTCGCAGCCACCAACTCCGACGCCGGAACTTCTGTGGACGAGCTCTTTAAAGCTACCGCATTAAAATGGCGCAACGCACGTACACACAACTGGCTTGAACGTAATGGAAATTTTCTTGGAAACTGCACTTGCACGACGATAGTTATAGCGCGAGAACAAAACGACGACACAGAGACAAGAAGGACACGAAACTGTGTCGTCGTTTTGTTCTCGCGCTATAACTATCGTCATGCCATACCAACTAGCTCAAGCTGCCACACTTCTAAGTTGCACTGCACGTATTTTCTGCTAGCAAGAGTGTGAGACACCAGTATACAACATCAGTTGTTGCGCGCTTAAGAGAGTTTCTACGTCACGGTTTAAAGGACTTATCAACTGACACAAGTGGAAGTATGACGACCCTTCTGCGGGGCAGGTTCTCTCTGTTTTGTCGTGTTCATACCACGCTACTTTTGCCCGTATTCACGTTGTATGCTTCCCACTGTCCGTGAGATAAGTAGGTTTTTCTGCCATAGATGCGACTCCAACTTCCTCAGTATGCCTCTACTCTGGTCCAGCCTACCCTCCCATTCCTCGTCGGCTTATAGAGCAACAATTGTAAGCTGATACCGCTGGCGTGTGTAATGAACAGTTGGGAATGTCTTACTATATAGTTATTGATCTTGCTCAAAACGGGACAACCATGTCAAGCCCGGCTGTTGACGAGTATGTTCCGATCATTGCGTATTCATGTAGCGAAGCACTGAGGCCTGATTGTCCTGCTGTTTTTGTGCTTAGTGCCTTTCTCTGGTCCTTTTTTTGTACTTATTTTGATTTCCTTACTGTTCAGTCCCTTCTTACATCTTCTCCAGTGCAGAATAGCAAAGCGGAAACCTTTTTCTGGTTAATTTCCCTTCTTTCCTCATGACCTTTTCTTTCTCTCTCACCCCAGCTTCATTAGAGAGCTACATTAAAAAGGGCTAGATCAAAAACACGAGAGACTGACGCAGGCACAAATGGCTCATTCCAAGATCGTCATCTTTTCTCTACGAACCACCTATCCTTTATAAAACAACTTTTTCCGCATTCCTAAAACCAGTTAAAAGGGAAGTATCTCACTCGTCTAGTTCTGCTGCCTCATGGTGGGAAAGCTTCGTGGCCTACCAGACTTCTGAAGATGTTCGGCCGATGTAACAAAGCCTTCCGCTAAAAGTTTTCCCACTTCATTTCAATTCAAGCACGTGGTTTCCGCTTGCAGCTAACAGAACAATGCAAGTAATTATGAGGCATTTTTTAATCGTCTCTCGTTTTCCTGGAGATCGGACGACAACATGTGCGACTTCTGAACGCGCGTTACGATCCCGTGTGACACGAAATGGGAGCAGCTGCGTTGTGCACTCGATTACTCGAAGCAGGACAAAAAAAAATAAAAAAATGTTTAACGTTAGCACGTGGGAATTGACGCTGCGTTAGGGCAGGCTATCTTAACGCCATGAAAATGATAACGAACTGATATGAGACAATAAAAAAATATCCGCTGATAATTACCATATAGCCTAATGCGAATATGAGCGTAGCTTCGTGTTACGGCAAGGCCAACTGCGTTTGAAGTTTCGGCTTTCCGCGAGATATCGGCGATCCGCCGTAACTGATAATTTTTGTTTAGTGGAACGGCTCCCACTACAACATTATTCGTTTTCTGCTGAGAAGCGATGTATACCCGCTGCACATCTGAAAGTTAAAACGGGCGCTTTGCTGAAGCTGCATGTGGCTGATTAGTTGAAGCAGATTATGGCTGAGCACTTAGCAGTGGGCGGCAAGCGTTAAGCCACACACCTATTGCGCAGTGGTCATTGTGTGGTGATTGGTTGTTGTTTTACTCTTCCGTATTACATGGGTTATTGCTATCTATTGCCCGACAGATGCCTGTATAGGGTCTTTTTGCAAATAAGTTTGCTTTGTGGTAGATTACTCGACTGTCACGCTGAGTACCTTGTTTCGACTACCATTCGATACGGGGTATTTTTTTCTCGTTTTATTTTTTCATGTCTATCGATTACACCAGCGCAATGACGATGAAGCTGAGTGCATGAACGAGTGCCTCAGAGCAGAGCTATAAAATCAAAAGCACTATTCGCGCACACATACAATGGCCAGCGTACAAAGGACATCTTTTCTGTGCAGAGTCCGAAATTTACAGGGTGGTCGCTCAGATTACAACGGGCAGTCTGTATAAACAATCTTGATTACATGGCATTGAGAGAGGAATGAAAGGGCGAAAAAAAGGTTTTCTATTTGATTCTTCACTTTGTCTTTGTTCATTTTCTTTTTTTCCCCTTATTTTCTTGTGTTTCGCAGGAGATGTTCGTCTAACTTCAATCTTTTTGCTGGTGCGTGAGGCAGGCCGCCTAGCGACGCGACCATCTCTGAGGTAAGTAAAGCTAAAAATAAAGCGAAATGATCGTACGGAACAACGGCAACAGCAACCGTTGATGTCAGTGATGATGTGGCTTCTGATTGGGCGTTACTTCGGGTTCCTGAGATATACCGAACCCTGTTGTCGGCTATGCCTGCACTCGTTTTGTTTGCTTCACTCGTCAAGACGAGTGAAGCAAAAATTATAATATTGCGACGGCTTCAGCCTGTGACGTCAAAGGTCGCCAAACTTTGTGACGTTGCTATGACACCACTGTGACGTTACATAACATGACGTCACATGCGCAGTCACCCGATCATAGAGGCACTACAAAACCTCCTGTGCTACAGATAGTATTCTGGTGGTGGCGGCGGTGAGGGACTCCGACGAAATAACTGACCTTCACCTCTAAATCGTACTAAGGAAATGCGTAAAGCACCACGTGACTATTGACGCTTTGCTGCAGTGACGTTTAAAGAAGGAATTTACGAAAAAATCAATCGGAAACTATGTTGCTGACGTTTCCGCTTGAACAATGAAGGCAATAGCAAGAAAGGTCGTCTCATGAACGAGCGCATATATGTGACTCAGCTATCAAGGAATGAGAAAAAGCAGCAAGTTGACTGCGATTGATTGGAACGTCCTTGGCGTTAAATGTGTTCGCAAGAGCAGATGCTATCCGATCGCGTGGTCGGGTATATTTGGTAATTCGAAAGGCACTCGCTCAATCTGTGTTTTAAAAAAGGTCTGCAGTACTTCGTATTCAACTATGGGAAAGCAGTGAGGTCCCTAGCACGCCAGCAGAATCGAGTTAGGCAGAGACCCACGGCGATACCAAATGACATCAACGAAGGGAATGTTTTGAATATTACGTCCGTGACACTTCAATGTGGCTCACAACGACAACTTCGCACCTACTGATAGCGCAGTTATGTCCCCTTATAAAAACGCCGGTCAGCATGGCGGACGCAGTTATTGTTGACACAACTACCACAGCGCATTGTGCTTCCATTCGTCCGTTCCCACCTTCACTTTGAATTGATTGATTGATATGTCGGGTTTAACGTCCCAAAACCACTATATGATTATGAGAGACGCCGTAGTGGAGGGCTCCGGAAATTTAGACCACCTGGGGTTCTTTAACGTGCACCCAAATCTGAGCACACGGGCCTACAACATTTCCGCCTCCATCTGAAATGCAGCCGCCGCAGCCGGGATTCGAACCCGCGCCCTGCGGGTCAGCAGCCGAGTACCTTAGCCACTAGACCACCGCGGCGGGGCTCACTTTGAATTGGTTGCGAAGAAGCAGGCCATTAAACTCACACGCATAAATTCTTTACACATTTAGACCATGTTTCAGATGGTTACATAACCTCTACAATGTTTTTTAAGGCAAAAAAAAAAGATTTTTATTTACGTCACATGGTTACATAATATGGTTCATAGACGGGCCACAGTTGATAGAAAGTCAGTGTTTCTCATTTTCGCAAGTTCCACACAGTATCATAACAGTCCCAGCTTTCCACACCATCTTTCATTTCTTCTAATCGCTGTGACCGGCTGCGTCCGCCCGCTCTCTGCAGGCTTGCGTACTATAACCTCAAGGAGCCTCCGCGCTTGCACTAGCTTCCGTTCAGGTTTTGTCAGCACATAGATTAGAATGATAGTAATTGATAGATATGTGGGGTTTAACGTCCCAAAACCACTATATGATTATGAGAGACGCCGTAGTGGAGGGCTCCGGAAATTTATACCACCTGGGGTTCTTTAACGTGCACCCAAATCTGAGCACACGGGCCTACAACATTTCCGCCTCCATCTGAAATGCAGCCGCCGCAGCCGGGATTCGAATCCGCGCCTTGCGGGTCAGCAGCCGAGTACCTTAGCCACTAGACCACCGCGGCGGGGCATAGATTAGAATGATACCGACCACAAAATAAAGCGCCACCCCTATAAAGCTTTTAGACGTGCCTAATATCCTCTAAGCTAACGTCAACAAATGTAAAGCATGAAGTACCAGCACCCATTTTTAAAAGATAGTGATATAAAAACTTGAAGCTATAAGAGAAGGTGCTTCGATATAGATCGCAGCTTTTGACAAACTCCAAGGCCGCAAGTTTCAGCTAAGCTGGTTAATCATCCGTACGAAATGCTTAAGCGGCGAGGATGTTAAAATCATTGCACTTTCTCAGCAGTCGCGTGATGGTATGGTATGCGCAGCAACCCTCTTTCGTCAGACCAGCGTCACAGGCTTTCGCCGAATGCGCTTTGGAATTTGCAATTAGTGCCCTTCAACATATGCTACACTCGGTTACAACTGCGGCACGCCTGTGTTTGAATTGTGAAACACAATTGGGCTAATGGCAGAAGGATGTCTTGGAGGGCCAGTTGGTACATGATACTGAGATGAACAGCGCAGAAACGGAACGGAGAAAGGTGTTGCGTGATCATTACTTCTCTGCCCCGTTTTAGGGGTGAAGCCTCTTATAGCGGCACCCGTTCGTCCCTCGTAGTCGTAGTGTGTAACAATTGTTACATTTGGACCTCCAAGGTAGTGCTGGTGGGAGATTTCTTCTGGCCGTTGTTGAACAATAAAAATAGTGCTCAATGTACTTGCCAATGGCTGCTAATGGGGAATGAGAGAGAGGAGCACACGGCTTTTAGTTAACGCGCACGCTGCGATCCCCATTAGCAGCCATTGGCATGTACATTGAGCACTATCTGACTGAAAAAGTTTGCTACGTCATACTCGCTGGGCGTAACCTCCTTGGTTTTCGAAAGGTTTAGCGAGCGTTCGGCCGCAGTGCCATGAATACAGTGAATTAGTATATACCATGAACTCGATATGGTTAAAGGTAGGAAGTAGACACGAAGCGCAAGCCGCAAGAAAGTGTGCGTGTGCCACCTCTCGTTTACTCCTTGGAATGTCCGCTGAATGGCGGTGCTTCTATACGAAGAATACATGATGAAGAGATGCGAGATGGTGGTACTTGGAGTGTTGAATAGATCGACGAACGGACACACAGACAGATGCATGGATGGACGCATGAACGGACGCAGGGGTGGATGCATGGACGAACGCAGGGATGGACGCACGAATGGACGCACGAACAGGCGCACGCACGGATGGGCGGATGGACGCATGGACGGACGAAAGCAAGAACGAATGGACGGACGAATGCTTCGCCCCATTCTCCATCATTCACTCCGTGGATATGCTGCCAATTGTTTTTTCCCTTCAGTATCGTGCTAACTGATTTCCGCTTGAGCAGTGAGCACTTATATCGCATTAACGACCTCGTTTCGCAGAAGTGCCGGCGTCAGCGCCAGCGTAGTGGGTTGTGATAGAAAAATCATCATCATATGCGGGAACGAAAAGTCGAGAACGATGCAGAGTGGGGATTGAACCCGGGTTATTTCGGCCCGAGTGGGCTTCTAACCCGGGTCGTCTGCGTGGAAAGCGGATGTTCTACCATGCGGTCACGCGCATCCTCGTGAATGAAGTGAAAATAACTTCCACTGCTTGGAAATGCAGTGAAAGTAACTTTCACGCTTTACAAACACAGGATTCCTGTATACATGCTCCACAATACAACGTAAAATATTGCTGTGACACTGCGTGGTACAAGCGTCCAAGCTCTCGTCCAAGCGTTATCCCCATATGGCAAGGTGCTCACTGTCACCAGTGGTTTGATGAGCGGGCGACGCGGCGTACTCACTGGAACGCGGTATGTTCGAATGGAGATGAACGCCGCTAATCCTGTGCCGAACTACCTGCGCATCTCCGGTCACCGTGCTACGTTTGACTACCGTGGTCTCCAGCGTGTATGTCGAAGATGCGGCTCAGGGGACCATCTACGAGCCCAGTGCACAACACCGTATTGTGGTCGCTGTGGTGTGCACGGTCACGTTAGTGAAGGATGTGACCGCCCATGTCGACGCTGCGGGGACGGCCACCCAACTGTGGTTTGCCCTGTCCGCCGCTCTTACTCAGACGCTGCCGCTGGTGCCTTTCCACCACTGACACCGGCAATGGAACCAACTACCGACTCGGGGGACGCAGAGGAGGTCACCGACGCTGTGCTGGCCTCACCCCTACAAGTTCTTTCAAACGAAGCGCACAACGAAAGCGCGATTGTCGATGCGACGCTTGGCGCGTCGGCCTCCCCGCTGGTGCAGGAACCGTGCGCTTCGAAAGACGCAACGCACTGCCCTGAAAACGGCGTCGGCGTCTCTTCTTTGACGCCACTTGATGTTCAGTGCACAAATGACCCCAGTTATCAGGCTACTGCTGTTGGAGTTGGCCCTACGACCCCGGTTATTTTGGAAAACAGTGGCGAAAACACCACAGCCTCTTCTGTTGCGGCCGCTCCGACCATTTCGACATCGCGTCGTACACGTAAAAAATCGCCCACACAAAGGGTGCCTACACCGGACTGCCAAGACGCGGACAGTGCTGCCAGCATCAAGAATGTGGATCCAAGCTTGCCGGCGGCTCAGTCCCTACCTCCTCAGGACACGTCTTCGGAAGACGGCTTCAGCCTGGGACTGGATAGTAGCATCGGACTGTCTAGCCTTGCCGATTTTGACGTTGAAATGGGAGCTCCACGTGAAACAAAGCGAGGGCACACTTCCAGCTCTTGCTCCGATGAACGCAGTGATGGCCGTGGTAAATCCCAACGGTCCAAAAAACCTCGACCCTCTTCTGGAGGGTCGAACAGTGCGTTGTAATTTGGTCGAGCAAGTGTCCCCTGGACACTTTCCAGGACACCGTCTAGAACTATGCGTCCAGGTTAGTCTTTACTTTTTATTATGGCTACTACACTGCATATTATTTCATTGAACGTTCAGGGTTTTCGCAGTCCGGCAAAGCAGGCTGAAGTGATTAGTGTCGCCCGCGCTGAAAATTGTGATGTTTTGTGCCTCCAGGAAACAAATTTTTTCTCGCTATCCGACGTGCTTGCTTTTAAACGAAGGTTCAACCTAGATTGTTATTTCTCTTTTGCTACATCTCG